AAACTACCGGACAGTGCAAAAGTGATTGACAATAAGTGGGTGTTTCGCGTAAAAACTGATCAAGACGGTAATCCTATACGTTATAAAGCAAGACTTGTTGCTCGTGGTTTCATGCAAGAAAGAGGTATAGACTATGAAGACACTTTCGCGCCGGTCGTGCGGTATGACTCAGTTCGGATTCTGTTAGCACTCGCTGCTGAAAAAGACTTTAAAATTGCAAGTTTCGATGTACAAACTGCATTTTTGTATGGTGATTTAACAGAATGTGTGTACATGAAGCAGCCTGTTGGTTTTGAAAATAAGAAAAACTTGGACTTGGTATGTAAACTGAATAGAAGCTTATATGGATGGAAGCAATCCCCCAGGTGCTCAATCAATCAAAATATACTTTATTGTCGGAAAATAAATTTCATTGACAAAGCATGATCTTAAATAATGTGCAAGTAATTAAAAATTATCGGGTTATAAAAAAAAAGAGGTACAATCAATAAAATAAAAAATAAACATAAACATAAATGTCAAAGCATAATCCTAAGCAACACATGTACAATTTTTACTACATCAAACTATAGAGTCATATAGAAGGTACAGCCAATACAGAAAAAACATAAAGGTTGCGGTCAGAACAAAACAAAACAATGAAACAAACAAAATTAAAATTTTTCATTTAAAAATTCATTAATATGATAGTAGGCTTTTCCATGTAAAAATGTTTTGAGCTCTAGTCTAAACTTTTTAAAACCACCTATCTGCCTTAAGTTAACAGGCAGATGATTAAAAATTTGCCTACTTTTATAAATTAGTGAATTTTGCGTCAATGCAGTCTTGGGTATAGGAAGCTGAATTTTAAGAAGTTGCCTAGTTGGATAAGTTCTTGGATATTCTAACTCATCATAATGTTTTTTGTGCATAAGGCAAGCAGTTTCCATGATAAATATACAGCATACTGTAAGTATTTTATGTTTTAAAAATAGTGGCTTGCAATGCTCCCAATATCCAACCCCACACAAATAGCGCACTGCTCTCTTTTGAATGACAAAAACAGAATCAAACAATTTATTAGAACAGTTACCCCAAAATGCAATGCCATACCTGATATGAGATTCAACCAACGAGAAATAAACCAACTTAGCAGTATTCAAAGCAAGTTCATTTGACGCTATTCTTACAGCATAGCAACCACTTGCCAATCGTTTGTTTAGATTTGTAACGTGCTCATTAAACTTAAGTTGAGTATCAACATGAATACCAAGAAATTTACAGCTAGTTTTATTTTCAATTGTGTGTGTGTCTAATAATAAATCATCAAAAAAAAAAATTTAAATGTCAATATGTTGGTTTTATTAGAGTTGAAACAAAGCAAGTTAGAGTCACACCAGCTCTTTACAAGATTTAGGTCTTCAGAAATAATCTTTTTCAACTCTTCAATATTTTTTCTGTTCCAGGACAGAGTAATGTCATCAGCGAATGATGTTATTTTAGCTCTAATGGGGAGGTGATTAATATCATTTAAATAAAGTAAAAACAATATTGGTCCCAACACAGATCCTTGTGGAACACCATTGGTCACAGCCAAGTTTGATGACTGAGTATCACCAATCTTAACAAATTGTTCTCTTCCCGAGAAATAAGATTCAAACCATGAGTATGAGATTCCTCCGAAGCCATAAATTTCTAGTTTTTTAAGCATTATTTTATGATTTACACAATCAAGGGCTTTAGAGAAATCACAAAACACAACGGCGACAAGCTCACTTTCATTAAGACTGACGAATACCTGTTCGAAAAGATTAAACATTGCATCATGGGTGCCCTTTAATGGTTGGAATCCAAATTGAGTGTCACTTATTATGTTGTGTTTTGAAAAATATTTTAACATTCTTTAACTAACTTTTCAACTAATTTTGACAACGTCGAGAGAAGTGATATTGGTCGATAATTACATGGGTTGTCCAATTCGCCACCCTTATAAAGAGGCAACACAATAGCTTTTTTCAGGCAGTCTGGAAATACTCCTGTTAAAAATGAAATATTAATACATTCAGACAAGACATATAATGCATTATCAGGCAAGTTTCTAAGCAAATTTATTGAAACATTATCGTGCCCACTGGATTTATTGTTTTTTATTCCTCTAAAGATTTCATTAAGTTCTAATACGTTTGTAGTTTCCAGTACAAATGTGTCATTTATTTTAACATCCAATAAATAAGAACCAGGATCCACATTACTTTTAAAGTTTTGTTGTAAAGTATCAGCAACACTACAGTAGAAGTTGTTGAGAATATTGGGATCTAATTTAACATCTGTTTGAAGAACTGAGTTTTTACCAGTTAACTGATTAATTATTTTCCAGTTTTCTTTGCTGGCATTTTTAGAGGAGTTTATTCTATTCTGATAAAACTTTTCCTTAGCTGCTTTTAAAACACTTTTGTAAATTTTTCTATATCTGCAGAAATAACTTATGAACTGAGGACAATCAGTAAATTTGCGAATATTTTGTAACGAACGCATGTTTTTTGATGAAACTTTAATAGCGGGAGTAATCCAAAGTTTACTTTTCTTTTGCTTAATTTTTTGTAATGGAAAAGATTTTAAAAATGCATCAGTTACTAATTTTTGGTATTCGTTTAGTGGTGATTGACAATTCAAAACTGCTGGCCAATTTAATTCCTTGCAAATATCTTTAAATTTTTTATAATTGTTGCTGCTAAGTAGTCTACCAACTTTATATTTTGGTGGTTTATTTATCGCAAGTTGAAATTTTGCTTAAACTGCCTCGTGATCCGAAATGCCTACAGGAATTACACTACAGCTAACAAACATTTGCTTTAAGACTGGAACAGTAAGTTTGTTTCTTTCCTTAACAAATATGACTTTAAACAGTTAAAAACTGATCAGTGCGTGTTCGTTGGCTACTTTGCCACAGCTGAAGTTTATTTGTCTATTTATGTAGACGATGGACTTTTAATGTCGCAATCACAAAGTGCTATTACCGAACTTATTAAAATCTTGCAACAAACATTTAAAATAACTGTCTATCAAAATGAAAATAAAATTCAATTTGTGGGTCTTGAGATTCAACAAGATTTGAATGCAGGCACTATAGCTATTCATCAACAAATTTATATAACAAAACTGCTTGCTAAATTTAATATGGCAAATGCTAATATTCTGAAAATACCTGTAGAACCTAGTGCTCCTTTATCATCATTAGGTACTAATGTAAATTCCAACAAGGCATTACCATATCGTGAGGCGGTTGGTTTATTAATTTTTCTAGCTACAACCAGTCGTCCAGATATATCATATGCAGTTAATCAAGTAAGTCGATTCTTCAATAATTGGAGTGATGAGCATTGGCAAGCTCTAAAACGGATTTTTCGTTATTTAAAATATACTGCGCATCACAAAATTGTATATTCGAAAACTGCAAAAATTGAGCTCCTGGGTTATACAGATGCAGATTATGCTGGATGTTTGGATACACGAAAATCTACCAGTGGGTATGTATTCATACTTGCTAATAGTCCCATCACATGGAAAAGCCAGAAACAAAATGTAGTTGCTCAATCGACAACCGAAGCAGAATATTTAGCTTTGGCTCTTGGTGTCAAAGAGGCTTTGTGGTTGAAACACTTTCTAAAAGAGCTTGGTATCAACATTCCGACAGTGAAGATTGGTGTTGATAATCAATCAGCTATTAAACTAACCCAAGCCCAGCAACTTCATAACCGAACAAAGCATATTGATGTGAAGGTACATTTTGTTCGTGATGAGTGTGAAAAGGGCAATATTTCTGTGAACTATGTTAGTTCAAGTGATCAGCTAGCGGATTTATTTACCAAAGCACTTTCGAAAACAATTCTCAATAGCTTACTTGATAAATTAAATTTGTCAATGATTTAACTGCATTTATGTGTCACTATTAGTTTTAGATGTTTCTTACTTATAGTAGAATAAGATTTTTTCTTGAGTTTTATACTGTGAATAATTTTTCATTTGTGTTGTAAAATCTTAAATAAGTGGGAGTGTTGATATAGTAGGCCTTCACTGTAGATTGTGGCCTACATAATAGGTATTATAAGATTTTACTGGTTGCCTAATGTTAGGTTCAAGGTTTCAACCCTTTGAATATAAAACTACAGGAAGGAGCATAACTTCGAATCTGCGCGACCAAAATATGTGGAGGTTGCATATGGCCGACTAGTATTTCCGGTTTGGCAGTAGCGTATATTTATTTAAATATGATTGTCAATATTATGACTCACTCTTTTCTCACTAATTCCAGTACTTATCATCACTTAAAACCGCTAAAATCCATTAAACATCCACTTAAATGAGGACACAGGGAACCACCAAAACAAATGATGAGTCCAAACTTGGAGGCTCAAAATGGCGGCTTCCGTCTCTTTTTTGTTTGCAGTGACAGATAGACAACGCTCCTTCCTGTAGTTTTATATTCAAAGTTTCAACCCAACCAGCTGATTGATTGTTTTTAGTTTTTGCCGTTAGAGGTCTGGCAGTTAATTTTCAGTTCCAATTTATCTTTTGAGTTGTTGTACGTTTCTCTATTTTCTGTTTTCATTGCGAGTTTGTTAATAAACATTAATAATCGATCAGGCGACTTGTTTTATTTAAACACAAGATTCTTGAACTTTCTTTACTCTTTTGGATCGAAAAGCTTCAAAGCTTTCGAATAAAAATGTTGAATTTTCAAATTTTTCAGTGATGACATTTTGATTTTTAATGATCATTTGGAATCGCCCAAACTCCAAACTATGAATCATGGTGAGATTTAATACTCGAAAGGTTTGAAAAAAGTCCAGCGAAAAATTCCAAATTCCTACATGATTTTTCAAAGTTTTTAGAAATTTTCTTTAAAGGTCTTGAGGAGAAAAGGTACAGAACAAGTGCCAAATCGAGAGTGCAAATTGAACATTTTTTTCAAAAATATTTATAAAAGAAAAAGAAAATGTATTTTTATTTTTAAATTTCAGTTCAAGGTGTTAAAGATTTATTCTGGTTACCAATCGAACAATACCAAAAAGACGGTCGAATCGTCAGAGGCCTACAACGTGGTGCTAATAGTTTTACTACTTCCACTGCTATGGCAGCACTGGAACTTACCACCAGGTTAATTTATTTGATTCAGGTGAGAAATTTATTCAATTTGCAAGGAGATCAGAGCCATAGATTGGATGAATTACTGTTTGTGAAAAAATATAATTATTTGTATAAGTAATTCCTTGAACGATTATAATTAATATTTTTTGATTCAGATAACTGCTGAAACAGCCTACGATATGCTTTCTCCAGGACCAAGCATAAGAATGAAGAGACTTGCAAAACGTAAAGGGCGAAGGAAAAGGTACCATCAACCGCAAGATATTCGAGAGGGGCTTACCAATGCTTGCATGGTGGTCAAAGAGGTAAGCAAACGAACAACACACAAATAGAAAATATCTTTAGAAATATTTCTGATAAAATAAATTACTCTTGGCTGCTTTCTTTTCTGAGTTATGATGTAAAATTTATTCTCTTAAAGAGTATTCAAAATAAGGCATAAGGGATTATTTGAAAACGTTTTGAAGATTTTAAATGCAAAAAAAAATTCAATTATTGTCCCTAGATAATTCTATCTGGACCTCTTATGCGGTGTTGTCAGATTGTGCACAATTTCTTGCTATAATATGGTATTTCACTCTAAATATATTTATTCCTTTATTAATCAATTTTTAGGGTATCGGTGAAACCGCCGACAACATCGTCCAAGTAGCGGTTTCGGAAAAGGAACAGAAAGGCATTAGCGGTGCCATAGGCGCAGTGATGCGTCAAATTCCATCGACAATCGTAAAACCGCTTCATGTCGGTGCCGAAGCTTTGACTAACGTTTTGGGCGGGATGCAAAGTCAGCTGGTGCCGGACGCCAGAAGAGAAGCCAACGAAAAATGGAGGAGCAATTTATAAAAATTACAAAATATTGTGGTTGTGATACTTAAATATAGTTTATATATGACGAATGAGTGGTTTATTGGCGATTTTTTTTTATCTGTTTAAAATTTGGGTAGTTCAAAAAAAAATTTAGGTGTATTGAAAATTACTGATTGTTTCAAAAAGTTCATATTGGAAGTGATTCTTTTTTTATTTATTACTATATAATATAACTTGTTATTGTACAAAGTTTGTAAGATTTTTTAAAATTGATAAAACGTTATCAAATACTAAAACGAAATATATTATTCTTTTACTACTAATTTGTTAACTTTATTTTCTGATCTATTCCAAAGCTTCTTTGCCTCCGTAATAAATCCTCTTTGTTGAAACCCTTATGTTTTTCTAAAGAACATTAATCTAACTGCTCCAGTAGCTTTTTAAATCTTGGAAAAAATCATAAAGGAAATTGAAACATTTACGTGACAGAATGTATAAAAGGGTCAGTTGAATTATAATTTTTGTAAAATTTTTAACCTTTGTAAAGTGTAACGTGAAAGTACTGTATTGTAAATGTCATATACATATATGATTATATCGAGTCCCTCCCTGTAGGATAATATGCCTGTTCGTAGACAAATCACAAATCAGTCAGAGTGAATCTCATTGGTTGAAAATAGTTTTCTGACTGTTTCTGATTGTTTTCAACCAATGAAATTCGCTCTGACTGGTTTGTGATTGCTGTGCGAACAGGCCTATTAACCCGAGGTCAATTCGACCAATTAGGCTATACGCACATGCGTGATAGACTGCGCGCTCGCGAACAAAAAGAATTACTTTCGCTCTCTTCTGCAACGGCCTCCAAACTATCAACATACCTTTAAATCTGTGATAAAAATAAAATGTGATATATTTGAAATAAAAGTATTTATTTAACTCTCAATCGAGATATTACAATTGGCGACGAGGTAAATCGAAATCTGCGGGAAGAAAAGCCCATGATTAATGGAAAAAAATCATTAAATAATCCACGAGGCGACGTGCAAATTAGAAAATGGCGACGAACAATGGCACTACAAACGTAAGCATTCCAAGATTTTATGAATTTAACTGTGATGTAGATGAATGGGAAGTGTATTCCGAGCGACTGCAACAGCATTTTGTGGTCAATCAATTAACAGATGAAAAAATCAAAGTAGCAGTTTTGTTAAGTTCAGTAGGCCAAGAAACTTTCAAGCTCCTCAAGAATCTAACCTATTCGAATGCCCCCGATTCGAAGTCTTTTGAAGATTTGGGCAAACTCCTGAGGACGCAGTACGCCGTGCATAAGAGCATCTGGAGGGAAAGAATCAAATTATACCAGATTAAACAAGGTAATTTGTCAGTTGTAGATTGGTATGCCAGTGTGAGAGCAGCAGCGACCACATGCGAGTTTGGTAACCAGCTGATGGCCATTTTGAAAGACAAATTCGTCACGGGATTGTCTCCCGGAAAAGTCTTAGACAGATTATGTGAAGAAGACGATTCAAAGGAGCTAGGAGATTTATACTCTCTAGCCCCGAAAACGCCTTCGCCGAAGTTTTTTCCATGTCCAAAAATGGAAAATTTCAGCAAAATTCACGTCATTCGCATTTCCAAGGAGGAAGAACCACTGCGCAACCGCAAGCAAGTGGAGGTCATGAAATGACGCAATCAAGGCAACGTGAACAAGGCGCAAGCTCAAGAAATGGTCATGGTCAGTGGAATGGGCAAGTCCGACAGAGACAGCACCAGCCGAACCAACGTCAACATGGCGGCAGCCATCAAAGGCAAAACCAAAACAACAACAGACGATCCACGATATCGAGACAAAATTACCAAGGTAATAGTACAAATTCTTTTATAAAATGTAAATACTGCAATAAATATCACAGAGGTTTTTGTAATTTTTGGTGTTCGAAATGTAAAAAAACTGGACACAACATTAAAAGTTGTTTTAAAAATAAACATGTAAACATAATTAACCCTGAAAACGAAATTCAATTTGATAATGTTGAAGAAAACTTGCAAATTTTTGATATGTATTATTCTAATTTGTCCAAGGGTGATTCTAAAAAGGATGTCAGCATAGAAGTTTTGTTAAATGATATAAGAATTAAATTCTTGTGTGATAGTGGCTCTGCTATTTCTGCTATCAATCATAAAACATTTTCAAAATATTTTTCAAACTATGACCTATTTAAAGACCACACCTTGTTAAAAGGCTATAACGGTAGTATTTTTGAGCCAGATGGTTTTTTCACTCCCTATTTAAATTTTAAAAATATTGTTAAACAAAATAAGATGTATGTCGTTCGCACGGGGGGAGAAAACATTTTAGGTCGGGACTGGATGACTAATTTCAACGTTAAGATTGATTTTATTAACAATATTTCAGTGGACCAAGAAATCAATAATATTATTTCGAAATTTCCCAAACTTTTTAGTGATACTTTAGGTAAATATGTCCATACAAAGATAACTTTAGAATTAAAGGAAAATTCCAGGCCAGTTTTTTGTAAGAGTAGGCCAATTCCTTTAGCTTTTCAAGACGCTGTAGATGAAGAATTGCGTAAATTGGAAAAAGATGGTGTTTTAACTCAGGTTGAACATAGCAGCTGGGCAACACCAATTGTACCAGTCATAAAAGGGGATCTTAAATCCATTCGTTTATGCGGGGATTATAAGACAACAGTAAACAAATTCTTGAACCCTGTAAGCTATCCTTTACCACACATTGATGAGGTTTTTTCCAAATTTAGCAAAGCCCAATTTTTCTCTAAAATAGACCTTAAATCAGCTTATAATCAAATCGAAGTAGATGAGGAAACGTCAAAAATTTTAGCTTTAACAACACCCCGTGGAATTTTCAAAGTAAATAGAATGCCTTTTGGCATAATACCAGCATCTAGCATTTTTCAAAGAATAATCGAACAAACTTTGCAAGGTCTGGATGGAGTGGTTAGTTTTTTAGACGACATTGTGGTATCAGGATCATCAAAACAAAATCACAATCAGAACCTTGAAAAAGTTTTCGAGAGATTGCAAAATGCAGGTTTCACTTTAAAGAAAGAAAAGTGTAAATTTTTTGAAAAGGAAATAATTTATTTAGGCTATAAAATTAGTGATCAGGGAATAAAAAAAATGGAAAGCAAAATAAAAGCAATAGTAGAAGCCGAAAGACCTTCTAACGTGTCAGAAACACGAAGCTTTATTGGTTTAGTAAATTACTATGCCAAAATTAGCAAATATTTTAAGCCCAATTTATGATCTATTGAAAAAGGGCAAAGTTTATAAATGGTCCCAAGAATGTGAACAAAGTTTCCAGGAAATTAAGAAAGTGATCGCGACAGACATGATTCTGGCACACTTTAACCCTGAATTTCCAATAATTGTAATAATTGACGCCAGCACAAAAGTCCTAAGTGCCATTCTTAGCCACATGATCAAGGGTGAGGAAAAAATAGTGACGTGTGCGTCAAGAACTCTATCACCAGCAGAAAAAAATTATTCAGTTACTTGTTTAGAGGCATGTGCCATAAATTTCGCACTTAACAAATTTTTCCCATATTTAGCATCCCCTAGTAAGCAATTTATAATAAGAACAGATCACAAACCACTTGTTTCTATACTGGGTGAAAACAAAGGAATACCGCAAATGGCAGCAAATAGACTGCAAAGATGGGCAGCTTTTATGTCAATGTTCAATTATAAGATGGAGTATATAAAAGGCAAAAATAATCCAGTAGCAGATTATTTGTCAAGAAAACCAATGAAGTCTCATTTGGACGAAACTATGGATGATTTATATATTAATTTCACAGAAAACTTAGGAACATGGCCCATAAGTAATGAAGACATCAGAAGTGAGACAGGAGAGGACGAAGAATTACAAGAAGTAATAAATTTCATGATAACAGGAAAATGGTCAAAAATGGAAAATGAAGAAGTTAAACAATTTTATAACAGAAAACACGAACTTTCCTATGAAAAAGGTATATTGACCTGGGGTCACAGAATTGTGATACCAAAAAAATTGAGAAAAAAAATTCTTGCTGAGCTTCACTCATCTCATTTCGGAATTTCCAGGACCAAACAACTAGCACGATCTATGGTTTATTGGCCCAGGATAGACAGCGACATCGAAGAAGCAATCAAAACTTGTATTCCTTGTTTAAAAAATCATCAGAATCCTCCAAAAACAAGCTTAACGTCGTGGCCTGTCACCGATTCACCGTTCGACAGAGTCCACATTGATTTTTTTGGACCTTTTCAGGGAAAAATGTACTTTATAATGTATGACTCTTTTTCAAAATGGATAGAAGTTTTTCCAATGACTAAAACAACAGCCGAAGCAACAGAAGATTGTCTTAGACATATTTTTGCCAGATTTTCTTTACCTAAAACTGTTGTGAGTGACAACGGTCCTCAGTTCGCTTCAGAAACCTTACAAATTTTTTTTAAAACAAATGGCATAAAACACATTACAATACCACCATACCACAGCCAATCAAATGGAGCTGCGGAAATTACAGTCAAATTAGTCAAAAACAAACTTAAGACAGCATTGGAAGATCCGAAAAATAAAAATGTATCAATTTCAACTATTGTGGCAAGATTTCTATTTACATATAGAACATCACCACACAGCACAACAGGAAAAAGTCCTTTCGAACTTATGTTTAGCAGAAAACCCAGAACCAGACTGTCAGTAATGCATGAAAATACAGTAAACAGGCAGGAAACTCAGCAGAAAATTACGGATAACAAAAAATGTTTAATAAAGGCACAAGAAACCCAGAAGAAATATTATGGAGGAGTACAACGAAATTTTAAAGTGGGAGACAACATTTATGCAAGAACATACAAAAACAACACCAGAGGCTGGGAAGAAGCCATAATACAAAAGAAAATAGGCAGAACTACATTCTTGTGTAAAACCAACAAGGGAAACATTGTAAAAAGACATGCAAATCAAATCCAAAATTTCTTGTCAGATAAAACAGAGCATTTTTCTTCCACAAATAAAGACTCCGTAGATAAAAACCTTAAAAATTTGTCAAATAACAAACCTAACATAAATCAAAACAAACCAGACGATTTTCATATTAACTTACCTTCAACTAGTCGTACCATATACCTCCAGAAGGAGAGAGTTGAACCTCCAGTGCGAAACGACTCATTTTCTTTTGAATCAAATAATAGTTCTGATCATGAAATATCAAATAATACTAACAATGAAATT